TTTTTTTTTTTTTTTTTTTTTTTTTTTTTTTTTTTTTTTTTCATAATTTGAACAATGGTTGATTTTTGAAGCATATATTGACAGTTACTACTAATGCTATGAGAAGCAACCCACAAATTCCAGTTTTAAGACATTGAAATGTGCCCATAAAGACCTTTTTTTTTTGGCCTGGGATCCGACATGTCAAACGGGTTGATTTCTTGAGAATAAAGGCAAGGGAAACTAAAAGAAAGAAGATTCATGGGCATTTATAATGTCCAAATCAATTTACATCGAATAGAAACTGCTAAAAGAAAATAATAATACTCTAAGATTAAGAGTCAAGGATATTGTGCCATTCCCGAGACTTTGGATAGGTCCATGAATTGGTTAGGTTGCATACTGGGAACTAGGGTTTCCTCTCTGGTTTCATTGCTTAGACCTGATGATACAAAGATAACTCACAATAATTGTTGATTGACTCCTGTTTCAATGACTAAGGTTAATAGAATTTTATTCTTAATCTTTACTATTATTAATTAATTGAGTTTTTCTAATTAAGATGTAATTATTGTACTTTTTATATTAATTAATATTGAAAAAATAAACATTAACATTTATTTAAGCAACTGCCTAATTAAAATGATTTGTGTGGCACTAGTGGTGAAATTAATGATAGTTTTTAGGTTTTTTAATCTTAATTAATGTTAAAATTGTGTAATAATTATATCTTTAAAGGTATAGTTTAATGGTACAATTATTGCATCTTTTTTATATTAATTAATATTGAAAAATATAAAAATTGTCATTAATTTCATTACCAATTAATGGCATGTGAATCATTTAATTGAATAGTTGCATAAATTAAGATCAATTTTTATCTTTTTAATACTGATTAATATAAAAAAATGCACTAATTATACCTTTAGCTTATGCCCAATGCCAGAGCTTAAAAAACCCCATTAATTAATGGAAAGGGATAGGCAAAAGTTAAGCTTCATTTATTATAGTATCTATAATTAATTTTATACAAATTTTTATACAAGATTCAAATATAATATAATATTTTACTTCAAATTTTATAAAAAATTATGAATCTAATATAAAACTTTTTGTAAAATTAATTAAAGATATCTTAATTAATAAGTATTAATAGCAGGGGTTAGCCAAACATGGAAATAATGTTGAAAGAATTCCCAAGTTTTATTTTAGGGGTAGATTTTGAGAGACTTTTCTCTTTGATTCGTTTTAAAACTTTATAAAACTTATCAAGATTATTTTTGTGGCATTCTAATTTAACTTATCATTCTTGTTCTTAATCAGTCGAATCGGTCGAGGGTGTGGTGTCAACAAACTTTATACCTCTGGTTCTTATTGCGTCATAGACAAAGGGACAAGGTTTGTACCTTTGGTTCTTGTTGCGACATAAACAATGGGTCAAGGTCCTATTATAAACATGATTTAGCTTTCCTAGAGTTTAGAAATCCCTTGTCGTGTTGTGGGTCTCATTGTTCTCTTTGGGGTTCTCATCATCTTGGTATCAGAGCATTAGATCCCTAAATCAGGTTTGCGTATCTTTAATTTTCAGTTTTTATCTTCAAAAACAAAACAAAAAAAAAAATTCAGTGTCATTCTTCTTTTTCTTATTTTGCTCTTCTGAATCTGTGTTGCTGGTTCAAAAAAAAAAAGAGGAAGAGAGAGAAAAAGCACGAAAATAAGAAAAGAAAAAAAGGGGAAAAGTCGTAAAAAAAAAGGAAAAGGATCGCCAAAAAAAAAAGAAGAGAGAGAAACAAGCAACACAATTCTGTGGTTGGAATTCTTTATATAGAGAAGAAATCTGTGGTCAAATCCTTAAAGAAGAAGGAATCCTACTCCAATAAGGAGTTGAAAATTCTCTTTCATTTCTATTCAAACAAGGATAACAATTTTGTTTATTCCTTCCTAAGTTAGGAATCTTACTGCATTAAGGAATAGTCAAGTCAATTCCTACTAGGAAGTGCTTGAACTGATCTGTTCGTTTTAATTTGTTTGGGTTTGGTTCTTGTTGCGACATAAACAACAGGTCAAGGCCTTAATATAAACCTTATTTAACTTTCCTGGAGTTTAAAAATCCATTGTCGTGCTGTGGGTCTCATTGTTCTCTTTGGGGTTTTCAAGGACAATCTTTTTATATCACATTTTGATACAACTTTCACATGTCATTAAATGAGTACATGCATTCAATATCACGAGTCTCACATAAATTAAATGTTGTACCTATGATTTTGATAATTATAAAACATATTTGAATGACTAATTGATTCATTTAAGTGTGTAGTTAAAATGTCAAAAGATTGCAAAGTAAGTAAACTTGGACTATACTAAAAATAGACCAAAAGGCTTTAAAATGTGCAGAGAGCCGGTTGATAAAACTTGCAGCCGGCTTTGAAAGCTGCAGCCAACTCTACGGGTAACAACTTAAAAGTTGTTTGGCGTGCGTGGAGAACAAAAGCAAAGTTGGCTCCAACTCTGCAGCCGGTTATAAGGGTGCATTTAATATACAAAGGTTGAGTTATTTGAAGATTATTTAATGTGTTTAAAGTTGGAATCCCAAAGCTGGTTTCCCAAAGCTGGTTTCCCAAAGCTGGTTTTATGGTTTGCAGTCGACTGTAGAAGAAAATAAAATGTGCAGGAAACCTGCAAAGCCAGCTACATAATTTTTAAGCTGGCTCTACAGAGAAAACAGAATGTAAGAAACCCGTAGAGCTGGCTGTAGAAAAGTTAAGCCGGCTGTATAGAGCCGGCTCCAGAAGTGTAAGTCGGCTGTACTGACAATTCTGCAAGTCGAATTAAGCGACCTATAGAGCATTAAATGACCTCCAACGGCTAATAACGGCTATTTTTGACCATGGGGTTATAAATATGGTTGATAGAGGATCTGAAAGAAGTTTAGAGAGCATTGCATTGAATATCTTTACCTACCTACATGAGTTTTAACTTGAGTTTTTGATTTTTGAAAGATCTTTACTTGTAAACCTCTTCTTGTTCTATTTGTGAGTGATCTTGGGGGTGTGATTAATCCTTCAAGAGTGATTTGTAGAGAGGATTCTTGAGGTTTAAGTGTAAAGGGATGAGATTTGAGAGAAACATCTTTCTTCTTGTAAAAAGATTGAGTGGCTCATTTAAGCCACCTTTGTTGTTGTTAGTGGAGAGTGTGGAGGAAATCCTCGATGAGTGAAGCCAAGGTAGAAAACTAGACTCCAAGTGGTTGGACCGAACCTCCATAAATCATTGAACAAGCTTTTCTTCTCTACTCTCTTTAATTTTGGTTGTGGTTGCAAAAAGGAGAGAATTTTTGAAACTCCAATTCACCCATTCTCTTGGAGTACATTGAGTCAACATTAAATGGACCAATCATTTAAATGATATGTCAAATTATACCAAAAAATAATAAAAAAGATTATCTCAAAATCATTTCCCTTATTTTAGTGGTGTCTAACACCACGGACTTGAATCTGGCTCCACCTAATGATTGACCCTTTGTTTTACATGCAGATTGATGTGCTGGAGGTGGATGGAGTTTATTACGGTGTGTATATGCTGACTGCTGATATCTTTATTTCTTTTACTTTTGAATCAGTTGGTGTTCCTCTTTTATTACTGGAAATAATTTACAAAATACAGGGATAGGGAAAAACAAAACATAATTAAATAGAAGGAAAATCTCTATTCTATATATATATATGTATGAGTAGTTATATATATATATATATAAGGATTTAGTTATACACAAGTTTTATATATTATATTTACATAAAATTTCAATCATTTTTTTTTATTTTCAATATTTGAAATTTATTCGTATTTATGAAAAATAATTTTGTTTTTTATTTAAAAAATTATAATTAATAAATCTCAATTAATAAAAGTAAAGAAATAAATGGTTAAAATTTTATATAAATGTAATAAGTAGAATTTATGTATAAGTAGATCCTTATATATATATATGTCTTACATCACCCCATCTATGTTTGCCTTTGGTAACCAAGGCTCGTCCTTTGTTTTCTATTTTTATCTGTATAGGTTTCTCTGGTTGTCACCGATATGAGGCTCACCAGCGCCTTGGACTCCCAACTATACGCTGCAAAGTTAGACGTGGAACAAAAGAAACTCTTAGGTTTTGGTTTCATCAGTTATTCATTTCTATCAGATTTCTAATGCATGGTTATATTTCTCGTGAACCTCTACTTACAGAGGTATTAATGCACTTTGCAGGCATCATCTTCGCTGATGTGAAGTCCTTTTTGCAAAATGTTGTATGGCCACAATCAATTCTTGCATTTTTGGTGTGTTTTTGTGTTACTTTTCCAGCTAATTACATATATAGAGAAGAGCTTAACTCAATAATTATCGAACTTTTCTTCATTTTAGCTTATGATCTTTATTTTTTTTTTAAATCATTTATTAACTTTTAAATTTATTTCAATTTCATTTAATGCAACACAACTCTATTAATTGATCTAATAGAATTTCATATTTTTTATTGTGTTGCATTACATAAGTTGTTGTATGAACTGCCACATGGCTTGAAAAATGAGAGGAAAAATTCTTAACATTTCTGTAGGACTAAATCTTAATATAAAACATTTCTTTGTATAGGAAAAATTTTTGAAACAAATTTCTTTATGTGTTGGAAATATTTTAAATAAATTTGTCTCCTTTGTAAGCCATGTAGCTACTTACATGATAGTTTATGTGGTATCACATAGTTAAAAATGTGAAATTTCACTATCAAAACCAATCGACTTGTGTTGGAATAGATTAAATTAAAATAATTTTGAAAGTAAATAGATAATTTTAAAAAATAAAAATTGATATATATTTTTCTATTAAAATAATATATAAACAACAATGTGATCCTCGTGGGTCGCTAGAAACGCAAAATTTTCAAAAATCGTGTGTAAGAATGTAACAGGGTCTTTGAATGGATGTGTAAACCTGTTCTCTTTTGAAAAGGAAACGCAACAGATGATTTGGATTTTAAAACTTAACAGATAATCTGCACATGCATTTGGTGTTTAAACTGCTGGGACTTTGACTGCTCAAACAATGTACCAGATTTCTACATTTTTCGTTGTTTTGGTCCTTTAGTTGGATGGGGTAGGTGGGCGCCTTTTATTGATCTTTGGGGTTAGTTGTAAATGTTTTTGTATTGATTTATTAAGTAGGAGTACTCTTCGCATGCCATTCAATATATTTTTTTGTTATATAAAAAAATATAAATATAAATAAAAAAATATTTCAAAAAAACAAAAAAAAAAAAACAAAAATACAATAATGATAAAATATGAATACAAATAAAAAATAATAAAAGAAAGAGTGATAACATTAACTTTATCTTTTTAATGTAATTATCCAAATCCTACAACTTATGCAAAATACCCAAATCTTAAAATTCAAAAAAATATTAAAATAAAATAATTATAACTAACAAAATAGTAAATAGAAACTGAAAAAAAAAATTCTTCTAAATTGATTAAAACAAATCATTAAGGCCAAAGCCTCTCTAAAAATAGAGTAATTTGTACAAATAAATTAAATTACAAATTGAAATAATACAAAACAAAATAAATTAAATATATAAATCTAGATTTGCACTGTAGGAGACTAACATAAGAATAAATATAAAATTTAAACCCAAGGCTAAAACATTTGTTGACAAGTTGACAAATAACCATGGAATAGGTATAAAATAAGAAAAAATGATGATTAATATAAACTCACTGCAACTTAAAATTAACAATAATTCTTCCTCACCATTGGTAAAAATTAATTAAAAGGCTAAAACCTCTTTTCAAATAAATTAGAAATTAAACCGTATAATTAATTAGCAATTACAATTAAAAAAATTAAAAGTCCAATCCTCAATAATTTAAAGTTCAAAGCCAAGAACGATTGCCAATTACAATAATCCGTAATTGTAGAAGAACGTTCAAATAAAAAAAAAAAAATCAAAAGTTCATTATTATAATAGGTGTTAAAATAATGAAGTTATATTTTAAATTGGTAAAAGAAAATAATGTAAAATTAGGCAATAAATTACCATATAGTTGATAATTAACTTTAAAATTGCCTTCTTTTACTTAACAATTAAAATATATATTTTAATTTTGTATTTATAATTAAACATAATTTTTTTTTAATATTTGAGGAGGGGTGTCGCCCTCCAAACCCCCTAACTCAGCTACTAGATATATTTGAATACAATTTTTATTTTAATTATTAATTTTTAAAAATATTAATAAAAATAAATTTTTAAAAATCTCTTTTAAAATAAA